TAAGAGAAACTGCCCAGACAGGAAGAATAAATACCAAGAAGAGACATAAGAATGAGGAGTAGCAAGCGTAGCCTCTGATGACTACGATTCTGTTGAGGCCCTGGTGATCACATAATTTGAATCCAATAAGGAGTGGATCCTTGACTCAGGGTGTTCTTTCCACATGTGTCCTCACAAAGACTGGTTCGAGACACTACAACAGGAAAATGATGGGTCTATTCTACTGTGAGACAATAAATGTCACAGGGTTGTTGAAAGTGGATCAATCAGGATAAGAATGTTTGATGGAGTTGAACGAGTACAGAAAAATGTCAGGTACGTACCAGAGCTCAAAAGAAATTTGATTTCTCTAGGTACGCTGGAGTCAAGCGGATGCTCGTTAAAGGTAGAGAATGGCTGCATCAGAGTAACCAAAGGTCATCGTGTCGTCATACAAGTAGTCAGGAAAAAGGGGTTGTACTCTCTTATCAGAAGAACCGTGATTGCTAAGTCCATGTACTGTTTGGACTCAACAAACTCAAGCAAGGGCTGAGGGCCCCTCAGGGGCCAGGTGAAGGGAATCTTTACTTCGAAGCTTCTCAATTGAGGGTCAAGGTGGAGAATTGTTATTTTGACCCCCAATTATTGAACTAAGGTAAAATGGTACTTTTGTAATGTGGTACCGCTCACCTACCATATCTCGCATACCACTCACCTTCCGCTCACTTACCGCTCATCTACCTCCCACCTATCACTCTCTTGCTTCTATAAATAGAGAGGGTGTGAGGCTTAGGAGAGCAAGGAAATATATCTTAAGCTACCACAAAGGAGGAGATAATAGCTAGAGAGTTAGAGAGGAGGAGAGCATCTTGAGGCCTTGTATCAAGGTGTTGCTTGAGAGGGAGGCCATAAAAAGAAGATGAGGGCTCATCTCTATGTCTAAGCTATGTATTTTTCATTTCTTTTGCCTTAGTGAACTATTTGATTGATTCCCTCCCGTGGACGTAGATCCGGTTGGACCGAACCACGTAAACGATCTGTGTTTGCTTGTGTTCTTTACGTTTCATTTCTATGCCATGAAGCACATATCTCACAACAGTTTTCATACATATGCTTAAAGCACCAAAGTGCTAAATATGTAAATATGTAAATTTATGTGAGAGATATGTAAATACAGAAGAATTGTGTGCTACTAAAGTAAATTTCTCTTAAATATAAGTAATTATTTATGAACTTTACCAATGACCATTAAGATAGATTCATGAACATACCTTTAATGGAAACCTATGAGCGGACCTAACACCATGTTACATTCCATACAATAATCCCTATGTTTTAGGGCCATAAGAAAGGAGACAAAGGGACCCATCTAAGAAGCGAAACTAACTTATCAAATCAGAGCTATCAATGTACAGATCAAGCTTGTCTAGAAATAAAAATTCAGAAATTAATAATAATTATAATGTAATTCTTACATTAATAGTGGTGATATTCATGTTGCATAATGATTTTAATAATAATAAGGGGTATTACATACATAACATATAATTTTTATGTATTTACATATCACACATTAAAACTTTTATATTTATACATTTAGCATTTAAATCTTATTATCATTTTTTAAAAGGGAAATACACCTTTTCATGTACAGGTTGAAAGCACCAAAGGGCTAAGTATGTAAATACGAAAGTTTGGGTGTGAGATGTATAAATTATACATAGGATAATAATAATAATAATAAAATTATTATTATTATATTTTTAAATTGAATGTAAAAAAAATGCAATTTTTATAATTTTTACAAGAAAACAAACAACCAAATGCAAAAAAAAAAAAAAAAAAATTTGCATTTTAAAACAAAAGAATAAAATTGTGAATTGCAGAGAATCAACATTTCAACAACTCGTGTAATTTAATTTGCATTTCAATAGCATTAGTGAATGAAAGTTGGGTTTAATTTTATGGAATTCAAGTACATAAAATTAAATTATTTACACCTCAAATTCCAAAGTAGAGGCGACAGATTAAACTCTTTAAAAAGCATGAGAATCCTCACCAAATAGCCGTTCATTTCCCATGCATGAAATTAAGTGGAGGGGTCACAAGTCACAAGATGAAAACCATAATATATATATATATATATATATATATATATATATCATAATTTTTTTCTTATTCTAGCATAAAGATAAGTTTTATGGGTTTCTTAGTTTTGGAGTCGATTTTCTCATTATTAATAATTACATCCTAATGTTTTTGAAGTTTAATAACAAGAATAAAAAATTTTTAATACAAAAAAGAAATGCTGAGGAATAGGACAGAGTAGTAAGCAATTCAAAGGAGAATATTTGTAGTGGTATGTAAACCTAAGAAACTCAAGGTTCCTAAATGGGAGCCAACTATTGTATTGAGATTTGAAGTTTAAGATGATTATCCTTTTTAAACATATATTTCAAGTGATCATTTTATTAAATTTAGATTTATTATTCCTGAAATTTTCATAAAAATGACTTGTAGAAGTCTCAAAAGTAATTATAGCCACAAATATATGCCTATAACAATGACTTAGCATTATATTAAGCTATATTGCTTTATATAAATCTAATATGAATTAGCATAATAAGATATCAATGGCTAAAAATGCATGACAGATGATCTTACAATTTTGTTTGGAAAAGATGGCCAACTGAAACTGCTCAAGCATGATATCAAAAATTCTATGCAAAGTATTTCAAAGAAAATTTAACCATAAAACTTCTCAAGGTAGACATCAACTAAAGGTTAACTCTTTAACATCAAGTAAGTAGCAACTTTAAGCCAATCATATGCATAACAAAGGTATAATTCATTCAAAGCCTTAATAAATAATTTATTTTATAAATGAACCATCTAACATCTAAGAAGAAAGAAAAGGATATATAATAGAAGTATATAATCTAACTAACAGAAAATTGTAAGGAATGAATCTACGTTGAATCAACTGATAATGAACGAATTTTCCTCTTGTAAGAGGTAGTCCTAGACAACTCCATAAACTTATATATATAAAAAATAATTTTCCTTTAAGATTTGAACTTTTTGATGTAATTCACTATTAACATCATTTAACACTGGTGATGGATAACCTTCTTCAAGCAAACTTTCTAGAAGAGTTAATCCTTCATTTTCAATATCAATCGAAAATTTGATTACATTGACAAGATATGGATGGCTTACTTTATTTGAATCAATAGTAGCTTGGTTAGTACAAATGGTGAAATTTTAAAATAAACTACAATCATTAAAACTTCATTTATTTGGTGAATAGGGGAACCTCATTTACATTTTGTGGATTAATCTAGGCTAGACTATGCACCTTAAGATTGTTATTTAAAAGTTGTTAGACTTATTCTTCTCATCTGCAAGAACAACTTCAATAATTTTTTTGGCTAAGTCTGTTTTATTATTTTTTCTTCTCAATATCAAGGATCTCAAGCGTCAAAACTTCAATTTTAATTTCTCTAGGATGTTAAAATTACCTACTCTCATTATAGCATGAACTCTATCAAAATAATCTCTTATAGAAAAGACATCAAATATAAAGATCTAGAATGAGAAACTTTAATTGAGGTTCACTTTATAGTATACAAATAAGATGTTAGTCATTACTATATGATTTGACAAAGTAAAATTAATTTTTTTTCCCTAAGGTGCCTTCATTTATGGGCTAATCTAACTTTGGGTGTCGCCCAAAAGTTCACATATTGTAAACCATATTATAATATTATTGTATTCAATAAAGTAGAAGTATCATACTCACATTTATCATTAAAATGAACAGATTCTTCTCAGACTCAGCCTACATGGCCAACAATCTTTGATCATCTTCTATTAAAATAGGCTTGGTCAAGCTATTATATTAATAGAATAGTCATAGTCAACAACTTCTTAAGTGTTAGCAGCTTCTTCATTAAACTCATCGAGCTCAAAATCCATAGCCTTTGGAGGTGAGTTTAGATGAAAATTCGGTATATAGACTAAATTTTCATAAAGTAGACGCATTCTTTTGTTTCATGAACATTCATGACAGACAATCTTGAACTGGAGGATTTTTATTCTTAAATTTGGCAAAGTACTTCACCTTGGCAATATAAAAAATGATTTGCAGGGCACAGCTAAGGAAACAAATGACAAAGCAAGAAAGCCTTAATAAGTCCTCCAATATGCTCATATTTATAAATTTTCAATAATCTTGACACGTATGAAATGTAGTATCAATTTAAACAAATATAATTGATATGACCGTTAAATAGAATAAATTTGAATAATAATTTATTCATTAACTTCTATATAGGGATATTCAATGAAAAAAAATGAGAAACTAAATATATAAACATATCAAACTAATCATTAATTTCAAGTCATTCAAAACAATTTAACTGATCATAATTGACATAAGAACCAGATAGTCACTCAAATCACCAAAGCAACTAGCCAAGAGGATTCTCCCGATGCCTCAAACCTACTCACAAACTCAAAAGCAAAGCCATGGAGACTTCATCAAAACAGGACATTGGGCAACATGTACTTATTTTGTCATACAACTTTTTTTTTTTTTACTAATATTATAAATTTGCTTCCCAAAGCCAACAACTAGACAAAGTAATTGAAGTCAAATGGGTGTATTATGATATGCTGCATTGCCCAATTAAAAATTGACAAAAAGTCCTCAATGGTCACAATCAAACCGTCCTAATGGATGAGTATGAGAAGCTCGGCCAAATAATCCAAATCCTTCTAGTTTTGTGGATGGCAACCTTCCGCCGTCGAGGTGGAGTATTGGACTTTTAAGCAAAATAATTAATCCGAATCTGCGACAATCTCCCCAATTGGAACCTGCCTCATACAATCCTCTCAATAATTATTTTCAAAATATTTAAATTATAATGAACTTAAATCAAAACAAAATACAATTAACCTCATTTCACACATGATACAATAATATAAATTATAATCCTTCAATTAAAAAACTATTGAATTTGACAATAACCGTAACATAACATAAATTCATCTTTACCATAATATTTGTGGATGACACTTCATCAAGTACGAATATGAAACATACTGCAATGCTGCACACACATTGTCAAGCCAAAATTTACACCAACTTGTATCGAGTGGAATACACCATAACAAAAGTTCTGCATAAATCCCACCTAAAATTTTCCATCCCTAAACCAATTAAAAGAAGAAGAAAAAAAAAAGGATGAAACAATGAGTCAGCAAGCACGATATTCCAGAAACTGATACAGCTTCTGTATTAGGGTCTCCCTTGTACCATACAAGGGCTTTCCTGGAGTAACCCAATTCTTCTCCAAAGCTGAGCTCTTAGCAGCAGCTTGCATGTCAGCCTGGAAGGCATATACAATCTGATAGACTGATGTTCTAAGAATGTCGGCCATGGAATAAGCTTTTGCATGAAGGAGATGGCCTCTCTTCCTGATTGTGGCTGCATTAGCTCCATCATGTCTGCCTGTGTTTGCTGTAACCCATCTGATGTTTGTAGGCCCCATGAAGTGAGATGGTTGTGAGCTCGTCTTCTTCCCCAAGCAAGCTTCAACGGCTAGCAGAGTTGAGAGAAGTGTTGATAGCACGGCAACATTGGAGCCAGTCAGCTGAGCAACGCCATATCTATCCTCGGAGAGCGAGCGTGCAGTTAATGCGGCTACAGTTCGAGCGCTCCAAGAGCATAGCTGTGATGGATGAAAGAATATCGACATTTAACCACAATCATAGGAAGACGGCTTATCATAAAAAAATAGCAATAGATAGCAAAAAGTTGATAGAGGCAATATGATGTCTAGTAATTTTCCAAAAAAAAAAAAAAAGAAAAAAGAAAAAACAAAAGAAAAAATAGTTCAATGATCATCGGACATTAAAATAGAAGATGGCTAAAGTTGCTCCCTCATTTGGCCTATGCTGATGAATAAAAGCATCAATGTTTGCCTTGGATGGGGTTCAGTTACGACAGTGATTTTTGGAGTTGCTATTGTATTACAATCGTAATATGCATAGCGGGTTTTCAAAAAGGATTACATACATACCACCCAATTCCTAGGCATTTACATATCTAACAAATATATCACCCAAAATTTTCAAATCACAAAAAAAAAAACCACTATTTCAACTTTTACTAAGTAAAACCCGCCTTTTCTTGCATAGGTAAGGTGGCATGTTTGTAAAAATTGAACTATTGGTGTAAGAAATATAAACACAGAAAAATTGAGTGGTAGGCATGTAAATATTCCTTCCAAAAATTCATAGTTCAAATGCATTACATATGAAGGCGTTAAACAAGTCAATTACTCCCAAAATTTCCTCCTAATAGTATGGTTCAGAAGAAACAAGCAATTGAAATGAAAATAAGCAATTGACAAACTTCACACAGTACAAGCAAACTGAATAAATAATTCAGCAAACATAATACAAAATTAAGCAAGATTCATGATGCCAATCCAAAAGAATGAAAATAAATATCTTATTTGAATAATAAAAAACAATTGTCATGAAAGCATCCATCGCAATGAACACTGTTCAGTAAAAGTCTGGCTGGTCCGCTTGATTATTGTCAAAGCCAAACTTGTTACAAAGAAAAAACATTTCGGGAAGAAAAAAATAGTAAAATGCAGGCAGATACAAAACGAAGATATGGGTAGGCGGTGAGTGGAGTTTGACAAATGTCAAATCAGTCCATGGATAGAAATTGAGCCGAGTCAAATCAGTAATGAATGGAATTCAAGCAGATTCAAATAAGGTGACCACTCATAACACCTTCCCAAACCAAAGCCAAGCAAATCAGCAGCTTTGGACCCAAAATAAGTTATTCAAATCAAGCTATGTCATCTTGGCCCACAAAACATACTAAAAAGGGGTTAAGCGATGTAGCTTTTCGATTCCCAAACTCGGCCATTGAGGGGGAAAAAATGATCAAGTTATGATCAGCAAATTTGATGTTATGGTGCAAAATCTTGAATATTAATCAAGATAGATAGCAGCACAGCCAGGCTGATGTAGAAGTTCTGTTTTTTTTTTTTTACTTCTCAAGCTTGGTTTTACTTGTATTCTTCCAAGGGGTGTAAACGAGTCAAGTCGAGCTCAAGCAACCCTCGGCTTGAGCTTGAGCTTGATTAATTTAATCAAGCTCGAGCTTAGTTCTACGAGTTCAAGCCGGCTTGTTTAGCATAAAACAGAGAACAAAATATTAATTTAAACTAATGCTATAATTAAATGATGAATAAAATGAGCATTTATAAGATAATTAATACGAAATCAGTTGATATAAAATATAAAATATCAATTTTCTAACATTTTAATAATTTAAAAAAATTACATTTTAATATATTTTAGGTATATTTCTTATCAATTACTTTTAAACGAGTCCGCTCACGAGCTAATAAGTCGAGTTGAAACTGGCTTGAGCTTTGGCTTGTTTAGCTCATCGAGCTCAGTCCACTAGCTAGCTCATTGAGTTGAGCTTGAGTCGGCTTGACTCACTTACACCCCTAATTCTTCCTTTATTCACTTTTAAATTGAAAGAGGCTTACGGATCTAGAAAATTACACCTCCATATTGCAGTAGGCACTAAGCATGGGAATAGTTTTGATACTATAGCAAACTAGACAAAAAGTTCATATATTGTGGCACATGAACATTTCACATGCAAGAATAAGGATGAAAAAGTGGGGAGAAAATATTTAAACTTTTTTTTCAATATTCAATAAACTTCCAACATAACACCCATCTAACACCTATTTACTAGAATAGGTTACATGATAAGATATAACCAAAACAAACCTTGATAATTCTTAAAAAGCCTATCATCTAATTTAAAATAAAGATAATCCTAGTAATGAAATAAAATAAAACCAAAATAAATTCTGATATTATAATTATTAGACATTTTAAAACTAATTTAGATTTACTGTTTATGCACATCTTGTATTGCAACAATCTCCTAGAATCAACAAAATCAGATAAGGAATTGCTCTCAAGTCCTTTCTAGAAAGTTCAATTGCCATGGTAGATGGAAAGTAGAACTCTTTCAAAAACAGCTTTTGTATCATCAACATGTGCAACTGAACATAGGAAATCCAAGGATTTTGAATACAAATTTGTCCCGTATCATACATCTTTCTAAAATAAGTACCATATATTCGCAATCACATGGAAGATTCATTAATGGTAACACAAGCTTCATCTATTTCTAGTGAGGAACCAAGAAGCACTTTTGAGAAGGAAAAATGGATACAGGATCAAGTTCACCTATAGAACTTAAAAATCGTCATAATAATAATCTCATGGACAAACTCAAGACAAAAATAAAGTCTTTTAACCAGCAGTAGACATAAATTTTTGAACTTAATAAATTAGTAGAAATTTATAAAACTTTGGAATTCAAAAAATCAGTGAATAATGTGATCTATCCTGATTATATAATTTTGGATTTGACATAAGGGGGAAGATCATGCAAATAACCATCGCAGAATCTATACATGCGACATTCATGTTCTTCTAGAGGCATTTGATCATCGTATATAAATATTGATGTTGATCATATGCATGCATCAACATCAATCTATTAGAAATAATTTAAGAAATATATGAGACAGCAGATAATTGCAATGACAGTTATAAGTGTAACATAACTCACTGTAATCAAGAGAAAATATAGATGACAAAATGTGCAATTCATCAATGAGTTAATCAAACACTTTATACAAAATATAGACCAATCATGTACACGCTTATTCTACTACAAAATAGTGTAATCAATGAGTTGAAGGCTTATGATCATGTAACTAAATATTTACAAACACGGAAAGCATATCCATAATAATTGTGTGTATGTAGATTAATAGCTTCACTCCATCTCCTATTTATTATATCTTGATGAAGCATGTCAATAAACAATTCCAAAATGAATAAAGAGAATTTATAGCTCCACAAACAAATTTTCATATTGTGATGTTATATTCCAAATATAATAAATGCAACTTATATATGTCAATTTTGTCACCATTATATCATGGCAATGTTAGATGAGTAACGGTAATAGATATATATGTGTGGCTAAGATTTAGATGTAATTACCATCAAGAAATTCGGCTTTAATCTCAATTAATGTAAAAGTAGAATTATCTGATGACAATTTGATGATGGGCCCAAGATAATAATCACCTTCCTTCATTTTCCATGCGATCAGAATAATATATAATTGGGTACCTATATTACAACGAGAAAGAAAAATAAAATTAAAAAGAGAAAAACCCAATAAATAGGAGATGGAGTGAAGCTAGAGAGAGATTAACAATTGAGGGTAGGGAATCTTTCAAGTTTCTCACATCGCTCAATACTAATTGAAACAATACACATTCAACTTCTATTTAAAAATAAAGCTATAAGATATAAACTAAACTAATTGGAATTCAAATCTAATTCAACCCTTAAAAGATCAAGATAATAACAGTAATAGCAATAAAGTCCATCATCTAATTTAAAATAAAGATAATCCTAACAATCTCACAAAATAAAACTGAAATAAATCATAAATAATTTAAAATATTAAAATAATATAGAATTAATCCAAAATTATTTTTAAGCATGCCTTATGATAATGGCCACACATATGCCCCGATTTGAATGGAAGGATGATTATCAAAAGCATTCAAAGAATCACGATTCAAAAAGTATTACAGGACAAATAACATCTAAGTACTAAAATTTATCTTTGTTCTCAAAAATAGACTTGAAAAATAAAGTCATAGATATTACTTCTAATGTTAAACTAAGTACCACAATGTTAATTAGAAAATAAGAGTACTTGTATATCATAATTCAAGGGCAAATTACTTTGTAACACCAAATCTTGAATATTTCTAGAAATAACGACCAAGTACACCTCCATTTAGAATAATAACACTCAAATCTGAAAGAGCGCAATAAATTTTCTAACTTGTTATTCTCAATGATTATTAAATTATTATTGAATTGGATGTGTATGACATTCAAATACATAGATTCAATAACTCATTTTAAAAGACTTGAAGTTAAGATTTTAAATAATAAAGAATTCATAAATATACAAGTAAACTCCTTCGAACTTCTAATAAAAAAAACTACCATTCAGTCTCTACTAAAGGGGCATGCAAAAACTTCCATGCACAAAATAGCTTACGGGAATTTGTCACAAATAATACTACAGGGATCCTTAATTTCCCATAAACATAAGCATAGGGAATGCATTAAACGAGCAAAAAAATTGTCAAAATATGCAAGACAATGAGAAGAATCCAGCAAATCATTTTCAAAATTTCAGGTCCATTTTTTCCTATATATTTAACGCGCGCGCGCACGCACACACACGCACGCACACATATATATAATACTTTTTCACATAACTCTAAATACACACGCGCGCGCGCGCACACACACGCACGCACGCATATATATAATACTTTTTCACATAACTCTAAATACTCTACAGAAAAACAATCAGCAACAGTGACAGCAGTGTTATGCTCACAATTTGGGTTGGGTTTATAAATCCTTAGATTGCATTCATTCACATAATTGTCAAATTTGCATTCATTCACATAATTGTCAAATTGGGTGCTAATTTCAGAATCCTTTTACACAATATAAGCATAGTACTTTTGATTTACATCAATTAATTTTTAATTCACTTTCACTGATT